TCCTGGGGCTGGAGAGATGGCTCAGCAGTTAAGAGCACTGACTGCTCTTGCAGAGGACCCGGGTTTGATTCCCAGCACCCACATGGCGGCTCTGAACCGTCCTTAACTCCAGTTCCAGGGGAATCTGAAGCCCTCTTCTGACCTCTGCAGCATTGCACGACACAGGTGCACTCACATATATGCAGGCAATACACTCATACACATAAAATAAAAATAATAATTAAAAAAACACATTATCCTAGAATTAAGGAACTAAGGGTCTTAACTTATAGATGCGCCTTTAAAAAATTACTTAGGGGCTAGTGAGATGTCTCAACAAATAAAAGTGATTTCTTGCCAAGCCTCATGACCCCAGTTTGAGCCTCAGAACCCACATCATAGAAGGAGAAAACTGACTCCCAAAAGTTGTCCTGTGACCTCCACACATGAGAACTGTGGTACGCATGCACATATATCGCCCAAAATAAATAGATGTTACCAAAAGCTAAAAAAAATTACTTAGATATGGTTAAATATTTGCTTTGATGTCATTTGATAATTTAGGTATTATTTCATGATAAGCATAGTCATATTTATTTTTTAGAAAAAAATATCTATACAGTTTGCACTCTTCTATAAAAGGCTTTTTAAACCCTGTGATAGCCAAATACAGAGGCCCCTGCCTAAGTTCCAGCACTTAGGCTGAGATAGAGAATTACTATAATTGGAGGTTACCATAGGCTACATAGTGAGTGCCAGGTCAGCTAGCACTACATAATAAGATCCTGTTAAAAAGAAAAATAAAAACTGAACACTCAGGAGGCAGAAGCAGGTGGATTTCTGTGAGTTCAAGGGTAGCCTGGTCTACATAGTGAGTTCCAGGACAGCTGGGGCTACAGGAAGACCCTGTCTTTCAAAAGACAATAAATAAATAAATAAATAAATAAATGGAAAAAAATCAAATCTGTCCATGTGAATGAATTCTTTCAAATCATTTTTATGCCTGCATAATATGCAGGTAGCATAAGAAAACAGTCTATTAAATAAGCATTTTTTTATTTTTCAGTAATATGCATGATTCTCTGGAGCGGAAAAATATCAGGTCATTCTTAAGTTTTTAAATATGGGGCTGGAGAGATGGCTCAGTGGTTAAGAACACTGACTATTCTTGTAGAAGACCCAGGGTCGAATCCCAGCACCCACATGGCAGATAACAATTGTCTGTAACTCCAGTTCTAAGGGATCCGACAACCTCTTCTGTCCTCCATAGGCATTGCACAGCATGTGTGCACTTACCTGCATGCAGGCATAACACTCATACACATAAAATAAAAATAATAAAATATTTTTTAATCATAAATATTTTAAAAATAGATGTTCAACATGAAGTTTATAAGTTGTATATATTTAAAATTATTTCTGTATTCAATCAAAACTTCCAAAACAAAAATCTAAAATGGAATGGCCCGCAACTGTGCTGTTTTGAAGGTATATGGAATTAGAAGATAGCTTCTTGATCCCTACCATGCTCTAGGCTGTGTGACCAAGCACAGTCCTAAGTCCACGATGGATGTGTTCTGCTTGCCCACTCTGTCCTGACTCTCTTAATAGCTTTATTTGGAAGGTATATCTAAAGCTTGAACTGGAGGCCAAGAATAAATAAGAGCCCTGAGTCAAAAGTCTTCCTGTCTAGGATGAGTCTCTAATCCCAGAAATAGAATTCCTGGGTTAAAGGAGGCTTTAATGCTGTCAAAATGCCCCCTAGCCTGTACCCATTCTTTCCATTAAGAATGTGTGAGATGTTGGCAGCTAATGGCTATAAGCAGAAGACTCAAGCTTGGCTGCTGGCAGGTTCCATATGCTCCAGTAGATGGCCCCATACCCAAGCATATATAAGAGCACTAAGAGCGGACTTATTTTTTAAAAGAAGAGGACACAATGTTGGGAAGGAGATGTGCTGGAGGAGATGGGGAGGGGGGAGTTTGGAGGAGGGAAAATGGAAATGGAGGGTTAATATGAAATTCTCAAAAAATACATTTTTAAAAGAAGGAAAAAATTTTTGTGAGAGTAGCCAGACCACTGCCCTGTGTTCTAACAGCCTTCTCATCTTGCCTGTCCTTGGTAACAGGTCAACAGATCTGTAATTTCTTTAGATATAAAAATCTAAGGTTTAAATAAAAACTCAATCTAACATAATAAGTAAATGTAAAAAGTAGAGGCACCAATGACATAGGAAGGTGAGCTCCAACTGATGCAGATCATTTCATTCCATTCTGTGTGTGTCTGTCTGTCTGTCTGTCTGTCTCCCTCTTGCCCTTCCTCATCGGGCAGCAAGGATCAGCAGCCAGGCTGTGGTCCCCTACATCCCCACAGTTTGAGAAGTACCATTCAGAAGCTCAGTATTCTTACCACAATTCTTGAGTAAATTGTTCTTGCATTCTTTCCCACTCTCATCAAAACATTCACATTCTATGTTCTCCCTCCTTTTTTGACCAATGACTTTGCCTCAGTGTTACTTGAAGGGAGAATTCCATCAGTTGTAAATGCCCTCATCTTATCATCACCAAATATGCAATGCTCTGGCACTGAAATACCTTTTTATGGCCCATTGGTTAAAACTAAGACTGTGTTTAATTGTCACTGGATTTCATCTCATCTCAGCTTCCTCAAGACTGGATGGATCCTTGAAAGTTACTGAAGTAATCTTGTTACGTGCATCCTCAGCAATCTTCTTTCTAGGAATCTTCCTTGGCTTCCCTGCAGCCCCATTTATCTCCAAGCATAGACAGTGCCCTTCTGTGACATCCCCCAGGCTTCAGGGCCATGCTGCCCTTGTACTCACCCTTTGAAGCAAACTTCTTTGAACAATTATCGGCATATGCCTCCTACAAGCTCATGCCATTCTAATCTGGTTTCCACACCATTTCACCAAAACTGTTTTTGTCAGTGATAACCCTGTCACCTAATTTAAGAAAGATCTCAATCTTGATAGCTGTCCCTATAGCTGGCCACACCTTGTTTCTTGAACTCACCTCTTTCTTAGTCCTGTATTGCCAAAAGCAAACTCAGGTCTCTCCAACTTCTCTCATCAGTTCATCACGCTCTCCTTTACTGGCTCTTCCCTAAGCTTTGATTATCTAAGTGTTAGAATACACTGAAGCTTTATCTAGATTCAATTTGTGTGTGTGTGTGTGTGTGTGTGTGTGTGTGTGTGTGTGTGTGTGTATCCTTTTTCTTTTTAGGTAAATTCTCATTATAGAGCTCAAACTGACTTTGTCATCCTCCTGTCTCAGTCTCTCAAGTGCTAGGCCTCTTAAGTTTCAAGTCTGTATGAGATAAATACTTAATAAGATCCTGTCATGAAAAGAAAAAAAGAAAAGGGGAAACAACAGAGAGGAAGTGAGAAGGGAAGGAAGGCAGGAACACAGAAAAAGAAAGGAAGAAAGGGAGGAAGGGAAGAAAAATTTACAGGAAAGCAAAAAGGGAAGCTGATACATGGCTGGTAAAGGACAATTATCTAGAACAATCAAACATCAAGCAACTCATGATGATGAAAAAGGAGCAAAAGTCAAAAACAGCAACATCAAATACTCTGCTGCCAAATAAACACCTGAAAACCTCACAACATCCTCCGTTATTAAGGAAATTCAAGCTAAAACCAAAACAAAATATCGCTACATACTTATTAGGGACCTAACTTCTTTTTAGTGTCTCACTTTATCGATCTTTGGCAAGTTATAGGGAGCAATTGGAGTTTTCACAAATTGTTGGTAGAAATGCAAAATTGTATAGTCACTTTTTTAAAGAGTCAGTTTCTTACACATCTACCATCCATCCCATCTCATCCCTAGATGCTTATCCTAAAGAAATGAAAGTATGCCCACCTGTAAGAGCCTACATGCATATAGTTATATCTGTGTTTTTCCAAAAGTGACAAGAGTCAGTGATAGTTCAAGTGTCTCTTGACTGAGGAGTGGACAGGCTGTACAGCATGTCTATATAGAATACTAGTCAGCAATTAAAACATTTCATTTACTGCTCCATACAATCACATTCATGAATCTCAAATGCCTTATGATACTGGGAACTTCAAAGCTTACCATATTATATAATTTAATTTAGATGACCTTCTGAGAAAGGCCAAACTCTGGGGACAGAAAACAAACCAGTGTGGTTGGCAGGGTTAGGAGATAGGAGTAACTGCAAAAGTTATTAAAGAACTTTTAAAGATGTTTGCGATGATGGTTACATGAAAATAGTGTTTTCATAAAAATAGCGTACTTTACCATGGACCTTGTTGTGTGTAGATTATTTTTCAATGTGTGGTTCCATCACATTCTTAAGGTTTCAGCTTACACATCATGTACTCAGAGAAATATTTGTACATTGCATAACAGTTCACTCTTGACATGGATTCTTGTTTTTCTCCTTAGTAGCACTTTCTCCACTTAGGTATTCAAAATTTTTGTTAATATTTGTGTCCTCATAGGATGTAGTGGCACAGCCTTTAATCCCAGCATTCCAGAGGCAGAGGCAGGAAGACTCTGTGAAGTGGAGGCCAGCCTGGTCTACAGAATGAGTTCCAGACCAGCTGGAGCTACAGGGAGACCTTGTCTCAACCAGCCCCCCAAATACTTACATCCTCTACTGCAATATATATATTATATATCATATATATTATATATTATATATAATTTAAGAGAAAGAATTATTCTCTCTTTGTTGCTTGCCTCATTACCTGATATATGTATATATATGACATACAGCTATAAAAACACTTATTAAGTAGCTGAAAATTAATACACTTCATAGTCTTAAAATTAAGATTCCAGTACGATCATCACTAACTGACCTCAGGGAAAAAAATGTAATACACACATATATACAGATCTTGGGCTGCCTGGATTAGGTTGAAGGTACTAATATGCCTATCACATTGCCTTGAGATAAGGAGGAATGACCAAGTCCCCAAACTACATTGGTGTAAACAGACATAACCTCAACCACACAGCAAAGCTTACCTCTCCACACCAACTGCTTGGCACAGAGAATGGAGCTTGGCGTTGTGCAGAAGTGCAAAGCCGTGTGCCCACTCAGGGAGTAGCAGTTGAGCTTTGCTCCGCGGTCACAGAGAGCCTTCACACAGTCGAGGTTGGCCATCTCACAAGCCACGTGCAGAGGAGTCTTCCCATTGGGCCGACAGTTGATGGTAGCATTGTGGTCCAGCAGAACCATAAGACATTCCACGTGACCAAAGAAGACAGAGAGGTGCAGGCCTGTCGCCCAGGAAGATTTCAGTTTATAACTGGGCAGCCAATAACCTGCAAAAGGAAAGGAAGGGAACCTTTACTTTCTGGCCCAGAGTTTCTCAATGTTTTGTGAGGCTTTTGACAAAGTATTTCATTCTTGTCACTTGTATAAAATTGAAGGGAAAATGGCTCAGAGGTTTTATAGTGGTAGCTGATGAGTTTTCCAGGCTTTTGTTCTGTGGACCCAAGCAGTGGGTCAGGCTTCCTCAAGTTATTATGGTCTCTACTGCTTATTCTCTTGTTCTTTTACATTCCCTTCCTGGGCCTTAAAAGCCCTTTAGCTTAAGATCAAATGCATGTGATTCTATTTTTATTTTATAGGCTATGTTATATGAGATTATTTAGGTTTGTGTTTTCTTTTTTAATCCCCAACCATTTTAAGTACATGAATATGATATAGTATTTTCCATAGAGTTTAAACGATGGAAAACAAGCTCACTGATCATAAACAGGAGAATGCTTAAGTTATAAAACAGTCATAACTGAATACTTCACCACTGGTAAGAATTGAGCATACAAGAGCCATGCATCCATGAGCCCACAGTGCGCCAGATGGCCTGAACTGGGAAATATCAACCACATGCCCCTAGCATACATGTGTTTGTGTGGCTAGATATGCGTACTAGGTAGGGATGTGCATAAATACTCGCCTGTTTAGACATTTCTACTTAGGGATGTACATTTACTCTCCATTCCAAGCGTACAGTGTTTTTAAGCTATTTGCTGTGTAGCCTGCTTTGGATAACGAATAAATCACATTAATACCAGTATTTCATCATTCTTATCATCAAAGTTCCTCAACAAGCAACTTGCAATGACAGTTTCTCTGAGTGTTTAGAAAGAACTAGTTCCAGATCCTAAAACCAGAATATACGTTGCCTGCTTATTAGCAGCAAAGATTAGGCAGCTTCACGCTACAACTGATTGGAAACTCGGGCCTGCTTCTGCAAAGGGAAGAAAAATGATCTTGAAAAAAACAGCAAAGAGCTGATTAAGAAAATATCATTTTGATGTAAAATCAAAGAAACACAGGATGCTGGTGCTGGGTTGGATTATCCAGCCCAAGCCTCTCATTTTCCAGATGAGAAAACTGCCACTTTTTCTGCCTGATAGAGCCACAAATCGGCTGCCTCAGCCCAACATCAAGGACTTGGGATATCTACAATGCAGAGTTTCCATCTGTCTTTGTCTTTGTGGAAACAGTGTAGGTTTAGTTGCAACCCTGCTGTACAAATCACAAAGAAAGGAAGAGGCTCCTGAATGCATCAATTGCGTGTCACATCTCTGGCACGGACATGCATTTGTTTGTTGATGTTTTTTTCTACCTCCTAATTTACAGCAGGATCTGCAGGATTTTCCTGCCCGTTTGTTACCTGAATCAGTCCACTGTCTTTGATCTTTGGTCAGTTTCATCTGAGTCTCCTAAAATCATTAACTCTTAACTGGGAATCAGGCCAGCAAACCACTGGCTCCTGGAATTTAACCAACCCTAGAATGGAACTATTTCTAAAACTTGCCTTTTCTACCTAGCTATGTGTGTACTTGGAGGGCAATAAGGTACCTTAGGTGTTACCCCTGGAGAGCTGCCAGGGAGAAATGGGGATAGAAGAATGTGGGCTACGGCCCAGGGTATGCTGGTATGGTGGCAAGGTTAGGGATGGGGTCAGGAGGGTCTGGATAACTCAACCTGCAACACACAGGAAAGCTAGCTTCAAAAAAAAGAGCATCCTTTAGCAAAAAGGCACCCTAAAAATGAGGCTGGAGGCCAGGTCTTGTGTAGCCAGTGTGGAAATAAGTACACAGTCTTATAGAGGACCAAGTCTGAGCTTATGCTATCTTCCAAAATGAAAAATTAGGCTGTGCTCATTTATGTGCTAGCATTAACGTTGATATGCCAAAAGATCAGAATTTTCACAAGCACATGTGCACACACACAGGAATATAGGCACAGCATGCCAAAAGCAAGTGAAGCCAGCCGCGAATTCACTGTGTGCACTGGCCTTTCTTCTCACAGCATCCGAACCTATGATGTGATTTATTCTTAATATTTATCTTTGGAAGATCCCACTCTGAGCTCTTCCACAGAGGCCAGCTGCCCCTTCACTGCATGTTCAGACAACACAGAGGACAGGCGGGAGGAAGCCCTTGTGGGCTGGGTGGGGGTCTGAAAAAGGTGCTACCTCCCTCTAGAGTAAGCCACTCACACTCCACCCCACATATGCAGGCTGCAGACACTGGTGCCTCTTCAGAAAAGCTTGGCTTCAGCAAAGGGTCAAGCGAAGAGAGAAACACAGGCTCATCCTGATGCACAAATCCCACCCTGAACTCCCCAGAACAAGCCGTGTCCACGGGGATCTATAGTATTCACGGTCACTGCTGCCCTTCTGCATACCCTGATTCATAAGCTGCTTATGCAACTTCACCCCCATGGCATCACAGGGGATTTAGTGTTATGGAAGAACCTCTGTTTCACAATTAAGGACAGTTAGTGTGGTAGGGGTGAAGTAGTGTTGCACACCCATATCCATATAACCACCACTGACAGAGACCAAGCTCTGTTGATGGACACCTACATTGCTCTATAGCAAACAGTACTGCCGTGAGCACTGCTGCCTACCTCTGTGATATGTTGACTTGGTGCCAACAGCAGAGAAACAGATAAGGAAAAATGTGATTTGCACACACAATGGGACTTTTGTAGGCCATAAAGGAGGATAAAGTTACGCTGTTTTCAGGGAAATGGATGCAACTGGAAACAATCACGTTAAGCGATTTAAGCCAGTGTCAGGTAAATATGTTTCCTCTCGTTTGTGGTTCCTCAGTTTGATCTAGTCACCTGAAATCATGTATGCACACATTAAATGAATGAAGAAATTATCTAGGGGAACAAAAGCAATTAATGGGAGGATGGATGGGAAGAGGGGCCTGGGACAGAGGAGAATAGGCTCAGTATATAATATATGCATATGAGAAAAAGAACTTTTTAATTTGAAAAATATCTCAAACTCTCAAACTTTAATCCCTCCAAAATCTGTCAGTAGCTGTCTCTGATCTGAAGATTTTATATAGTTTAGCCCCACACTGACAGCAAGCATAGCCAAAAGTTCCAAAGAAATTTTAGAAGTTTTACCCTTGCAAAAACATATGTAGACTAATCCCCGTGTGTGTGTGTGTGTGTGTGTGTGTGTGTGTGTGTGTGTGTGTGTGTGTGTCATTTAAATCTGAAACTTAAAGACATATATATACCTGCAAGGCTAGGTGCAAAACCCGTAGCTCAAGAGTCTTGGTGAGGAAGGAAGGCAGCCCTTGGGGAGGATGTGCATCTCTAGGGAAACAAAAGGCTAAGCCCAGGGATAGTTACCAACTCTAGTGTTATCAAAGGGAAACAAACCTTACACAGGAGAAGCCTTTGGTTGTGGTTGCAACCAAAGTTCACACATGCTGCTCCTGGCTGGATTAGCAGATATTTGCTCTGACCTTGTCCACATATTTACACAGTCCCGAAGGATTTTAGGCCAAAGCACAGTTCTTAGCTATTTTTTAAAAGCTAGTATTTTCAGGATAATTCTCACAGCTCCCCAAGGGAAAGGGAGAGGAAAGAAAGCTTGCATTGTAACATTTTAAAGAGAGAGCTATTTGACCGAGGAGGAAAGGGGAAGACCCCTAGGATAGTAATAGGAAAGCAAGAAAGTAAATTTCTGGCAAAGAAGGAAATTAGGTGAGAAAGAGATTATTCATTTGGAATAAAAGCTTTCTAGACACTTGGATAGCAACTGCTACTTAGGAAAGTAGATAGAGTATCTGCCAGAAAGTTTTCAAGCAAAATCATTCATTGGTTATTTTAATTAAAAATATGACTACCATGCAAGAAGCCAGAAGCTGTGGACTATAAATGAAGTACTTAGAGGGCATTACACCGATTAATAAAAGGATGTTGATTAAGCCTGCTGACCAGGGAATTTCAGACCAGAGATAGGTATGATACTCCACTTGTTCTGTTAGGGAGCCAAAGCTCATACATCTGAGGAAGAACCAAAATGTTCAGCTAGGAAAATCATTGAAAACAACCTTACGGACATTCATTTGTAGTTCTAGTACATATGCTGCCTGTGGGAACGTCCATGGAGGGTCTCTGAGATTTTTCAGAGATTTCTACTTTGATTTCAGTCTAAATATTTTCTATTTGCCTCAGAATAAGCTACATCATGACACCCCTTAACTATTCAACTATTAGGTGCATTAACTAGCTTAAAATTCATTCATGTAATTTATGATTTCCTCACATCATTGTTGTCTTAAAGTGGTTGTTTGGGGATGGCAAGATGGCTCATCCAGTAAAGATGCTTGCTACCAAGCCTGATGACCTGAGTCTAATACTTATAACTCACACAGCAAGAAGAAACCATTGCCCCCCAAACTGTTCTCTGACCTCCACACACACGCTGTAGCATACTCAAATGCGCATGCACACACACACACAAAGTTAAAAGAAATGAAACTTGGGGCTGGAGAGATGGCTCAGCGGTTAAGAACACTGGTTGTTCTTGCAGAAGACCCAGGTTTGAATCCCAGCACCCACATGGCAGCTAACAACTATCTGTAACTCCAGTCCCAGGGGTTCCAACAGCTTCTTCTGACCTCTGCAGGCATTGCACGATACGGGTGCACTTACCTACATGCAGGCAATACACACACACGTAAAATAAAAATAATAAATTTAATATGAAAAAAACAGCTTGTAAAATTTCAGGCATTGCACGATACGGGTGCACTTACCTACATGCAGGCAATACACACATACACGTAAAATAAAAATAATAAATTTTAAAAAAAATAACTTATTGTTAAATGATATTTTACTTATTTACTTTTCTATGCTTTTAATAACGCCATGTCTCTCCCTACCATTCCCAGGGAGGATTTTCAAATGCAAGACAGCACACTTTCATTGCTTGCTTTACAGAGAGGGAAAAAAGTGGAAAAAAATGAACAAAATGGGATTTTACATGAAGATTTCATGATAAATCTAAAAATAACTGGAAGAAACAAATTGAGGTGTGCCCAACTTTAAGAATCAGTGTTGGGTGTTGGGAAAACCCCAGGGCACAGACTAAGGAGTTCTAGAGAGGTTAGTCTGTCTCCTGGATGGGTAGAAGCTTATAAGGCAACTCCAGGACAGGAGGGAGAAAAGATCATGAGTTTCCAGACTTCGCTCTAGTACAACACCTCAGTTCTATCCTCCCCATAAAATGCATACTGCCGCAGGAGGTCAACTTTTAACTGCCCATGCACTTAATACATTTTGGATTGGGGTGAAGGGAGGGAAATATTTACATTCTAAGTGGCTTTCTTTGCCAGCAGAGTTCTGAATCACCTTTCCAAAATGTATCCTCTGATCTTGGCATTTGATCAGACATGCTATATTTAGAAACAAGAGCAATAACCTTTTGAAATCCTATGAAAAGTGGTTAAGGGTTGATGGTAGCCCTGCTAATCTCCTGAGAGTAATCAGCTATTGAATACAGAATCACATTATCAGTGACATGAGAAAATGTCAAGGCAGGGTGATACCTGTTGCACAAGTCACACTTTATTCTGCTTATTAAGTGAAAGATAACTGAAGATCCCCATCTCTTGAAAGTAGACAGTGGTGCTCCCTTTCCTGGGTTGGATGATAGGGACATAGCTTTGCTTATTTCGTGAAAACTAATCAAACTGCACACTGATGGTGCACTTTCATTTGTAGAACTTTTCCAATATGCTTAAAAATACAAGAGAGTAACACGTATCAGTTCAACATCTAAAAGTTCTGCTTCTACCTAATAAAAAAAAAAGTCTCAGAAACTTTAATCTAGCCACCTGTCCCTCAAGGCCACACAGAAATAGCTTCCATTCTTTAAAGGAGCTCACTGACTAATTAACTACCCAGTTGCAGACCACTCAGCTTTACACTGTTCTAAGAATTCCTTTGTGAATTAAGACATTGATACAACCACTTAGATCTACTTTGCTGGGCCAGAAGCTAAGATTCTATGTACTGCTTCCATGTCTAACCTTACCAGTGAAGGGACTGATAATTTAAAAATGTCAAATAACTTTCAAGAAAAAGAAGGTTTTACCCCAAGTTGAAGACCAGAGGCAGTCTTATATTCACGTTCATGGTAAACAGAGAGTAAGGTTAGGTCTACACCACATGCACATATGCACGACTGATTTCCTGAACAAGCTCTGAAATATGAGCCAAAGTTCAGTTATTTCTGCACACACACCTACTTGGCATACACAAGACTAAACTGTTTTCTTCCTTTGCAGACAGTGTAAATTGCTGCCCCTATTGAGAAACACATCCCATAGCCTTAACGCTATGAAAACACTCATTAACATAAATAACAAGTTATCTCCACAGGGAACATGAGAGCTAGTAAGCGCATATTGACAAAAAGAGTTTAAAACACAATTTCTTCTTTCAGGGGTAATGATACCATGAGAAATAACAGAAAACAGCTCTGCTTCTCAAGAGCCTACATACACTTCAAAGTTCCTTTCTCAGAACCTCTGCATCCTGTGCCAGCTGCAGAATTTACCTGCTCAAGAAATGAGACAGGTAGTTTTTACAACTCAGTGTCAAATAGATTATTCACTGACTTGTCCCTCAGTCATTTTACATGTGGCACACATATACATTTCAAAAATCACTTTAAAACATGCTTAGCATTCAGACATTCTGTCACTAAACAAAGTCTTAAAATGCAAACCATTTAATTATATAGCATTTAATTTTTCTTTCAACAGAGCCCCCGTCAACTATTTAAAAACAGAAGAAATAGGCTCCTTTGTTTTTCAATCAAAATAGTAACGGCAATTGATCATAAAGTACAAATCACAGACAAAGTCACTGGGATCCACTACTTTCTACTTCCTCTAGAACTGTAGATCAGAGACATGAATTAGAATAGAAATAAATGTTACTGGTGCTTGAATGGAATATTGGAGATTCTGATGACTTATGTATGAATAGAAAACAGATATATAGAAACATGAAAAAAATCATTATTCATGCTCCCTTTCTTGATCTCGCTCACTTGCTCACTCACTCTCAGTGCTATGCCCAAAAATGGAATATCTATTTTTTTTAAGCAAAAGTAAAGTTAAACAGAGTATTTCTCTGCAGTCTGCTTGCCAGATGGCCTAAGTACTTCAATTCTCCCATTAGCTAGTTGATTGGAGGAATTAAAATCAGTGTGCTAATTTATTTCTGATTTATTAAGCATAAGGCGCAGAAAAAAAAATTCCTTAATTAAAGAAATTTTCTGTTCTAATTATTGTTTTCCTGTTTTTATACAAAGCAGAGATTCTGCATTAAGCCCTTCAAATTTATTTTATCTATTATTGTAGTCTAGCAAAAAGAAAAAAGAAAGTTAACTTTTTAGTATTTTGAGTCCAGCTTTTGTTCCTGAGCTGAAACTCATTAAAATGATGAAGACCATCAAGGCGCCTATGGCAGAGTTTTCTCCATTCATTAACTCTCTAAATGGGTAAGAAAGTCCCCTTTTTCATCCATAAAGACACTGAGATGATATATCTTTAAGTGGCTGTTAACAAAGAATGAACAGTCTGTCCCCCACAGCCACATCATCACAAGATTTTAACAGTCTGTTTAACCATAATCCAGAGATGTTTTCTCTATTCTGTGTAATCACAGGCACAAGAAAAGTTCTAAACACAGTGCATGACAAAACAGCTACCTAGGATGCCAAATTCTAAGCACAGGGATGGAGAATAGTCAGCAAAGAACACATATACAGAGATCTATGTGTATAATACAGAAATTAGCCCAAATCCATTCTAGTTTTAAAAGGAAGGAAATATAAACATTAGAAATAATGTGGGAACAAACATTAAACAACAAAAATGACTGCTTTAAAGTACATAACTGACCTACTGACCTAAAATCATTTTCTATCAATTACACCTCTACAATATTTTTTACCTTGTTTGTAAGATGCCAAAACCATATTCTCATCTTCAACTTCAAACACTGTGTCCACATCTATTTGCCTTTGGAGTAAAATAGCCTTCAGTTTTCCGAAGTCATTTGACTTTAGAGCCTCCAGGAAATTTTTCTTAACTAACTTGGCAGCTCCAGCTTTGGAGATAGGGGCAGTGAAGGCGTCCATCCTCTGCTCCCCGTGGAAGCTGAGCTGTGATTTAGCAGGAGAGCAGCACCCAGCACACAGGCAAGGCTGGAGAGTCCACAAACTGCGGGCTAATTTTATCCCAAAGTTATGCTGATCCGTTCTATTTATATAGGGATCATTTCAAACTTCAAAATATCCTCCTTGGCGGTCACTGCGTTTTCAGGTCCTTTAAACTGGTGATACATAAGCAAGTCCCTTCCACAGTGTATGGTGTCAATATGACAGAAAGCTTCTGTGACACATTTCCAAGCATGAAATGTCACAATTATTTCTTATAGGACAAGAGTGAAAATGCAAGATTTAAAAAGCTCTTAATGCTCTTTATTTTTTCCTTCTCAGCAAAACATCTGGTGCCTGGCTGGAGCTCCAGTGTCTTGCTCTGACTAACCAATAGCCAAAAATGAAAATTTGTTTCAGTTGTTGATACACGTGCTTCTGAAAACCTTTAATGATTTTGTAATATGAGCCTGTGAAATCAAGCCTGATTACACACATTTGAAAACAAACAGAAGGTTTTCCAACAACCGAGACTTGAAATTTTTCAATATTTACGAAAAAGCAGAGTGAGGTACTAAGGGGGGAATGGTTTAGTTAAAAAGAACTTAAAGAAGCAAAACAAATAAATGCAATGCAACAAGTAAACAAAATTTTTGGATCCTGTATTTTATTTTTCAAATCAATTAGAAAAGACTGTGTTCAAACAATTTGCAAATATAAACAGACAAAATTTTACATGATAATATAAGATTATTGATTTGTGATAAAGGTATTAGGGTAATATATAAAAATATTGATTTTCTTAAGGAATACAATACATAATAAATTGATACACTGTCTAACACTTCCTCTTTTATCTGTGTGTGTGTATGTGTGTACGTGTGTGTGTGTGTGTGTTGCTGAAAATCAAAACCAGGGTCTCACAGAGCATGTGGTTTATTACCTAGCTATACTCATAGCCTCTAACACTTATTTTAAAGTAGTTCAGATATTTAGATAGAAAGGAGAGAGCAAAAAGGAGACATCAAGAGACACTGGGAGAACAAATGTGGCACAAAGTCAAGAAACTAATAAATGTAATGAATAGTGTGGGGTTACCTAGTATTTTTAATTATCTTCTTCTTTCAGCTTTTTTATGTTTGAAAGTTTTCAACAGAAAAAGCTGGAGAAAAATATAAGCTTGATTTATTTATCATCATTAAAAATTAGAAAAATAATAGCAAGTTCTAACTAGAATATAAGTAAGTCATATTTATATATTGTTAATGGGTGTCAGAAAATGATACAAACTTTTTGCAGAATAATTAGCAATGTGAATTTTAAAGTTTTTTAAATGATATTTGATTCTTAGAATTTACATAAGTATATAAAAATCAATGCAAATCAGCATACTTTGTCACTTAATACATTGATACGTAGCAAAAAATACAAGGAAGTATCAAGTCATAAGTATATAGCTTATCAAATCATCATGACCAGTACCCACATACACCACAGAGCAGCTCAATCCCACCAAAAACTTCCTTCATGCACTCTTCTAGCCCAAACATTCCCTATTTCCATCATCACCCATTACCATGATTTCTAATACTGTAGATCGGCTTTGCATATTTTAATTCTAATTTTTCAAAACATTTTATTAATTTACATTTTTAAAGTTACATATTTTAACATATTTTAAGACTAGCAGTAGGAGAGAGAGAGAGAGAGAGAGAGAGAGAGAGAGAGAGAGAGAGAGAGAGAGAACAATGGACTGCTTTGTGACCCTCTGTTTTTGTTGAAAATATGTTGAGATTCTTATGGGACACTTTACAAGCAAGTCACTTATCCAGGGCACTGGAGATAAAGTAGTAACAATGTAGGCAAAACACCCTGTTGATGGAGAATTTAGCATGCAGATGGGTTTGGATGGTGCTGCTAGCTACTCGAGCTTTTCCATTTCCTGTTCACTACATTTTTCATGAAGTTGCAAACTTGCTGAATTTCATACAGAAATAAGATAGTTTGTTTGGTGACAGTTAAATTGATCTGATGCCCTCTCAAGTATTTCTATATTACTTAGTAGGAGAAGACAATTTAATTTTATTCCAAACTGGTATGTTTAATCTGGCCCAAATATGTGGTAATCTCTTTGGATAGTATTCCTGAACAAAATTCTGTCATTGGAAGTTCTGACTTGCCCTCTAAAATGACTTCCATGAAGGTGGGGATATAAAAGAAATACTTAAAGCACTCATATTTAACAATCAGTACTCACTAGAAGAGACTACGCCACAAATTACCAGTGTGGCCAGATCTGTGGTATCCCATGAATGAAAGAGCCCTAAATGGACTAACTGTCCCCTGGAACCTCATTCTCAACCTCCAAGCAGAGTGACAGAGTGTCTCCCACTAACTGTGTCCTATTTAACTTTTTATACACTTCTGGCCTCCACTAGCCCAGGAGTATATGATTCTGGTCATTTACCACCAGTTTTGAGGCTCTCATTCACGGACGCCACATGGCTACTTTAGCACAATCGATTATTGGAGAACTTGGAAGTTGTATGCCTTCTTCCAGACATTTCAGCACTTCTGGTACTGTGTAGGGTCCAGGAAGAACAAGATTAGCACTGGGTGTATGAGGAAGGATGAAAACAGGGCTGCTAACCCTTGACAACCTGAATCTCTGTTCATATCAAGACTTCCAGTCTTCTACCTAGAAAAGTCTACCCTGCCACATTTTACTTCCTCCATTACTTTTCCTTTTTTTCCCTCAGTTTAATACACCTGTGGAATGCCCTCTAAGATTTTGATCTTTGCACCTCTGGGTCCTTGTTATGCTTTAAGAAAAAAGGGTTAAAATACTGTGGCATAATTACTCATTTTCTTTCTTTTAAAAAAAATATATATTGTTTTTGTTGGGTTTGGTTTGAGTGTCAGGGATCCAAGGCACAGCCTCATGCATACTACCTGCTGGGCTATCCACCACAACCAACCTCCAAATCCTTACTTTTCTAATGCCTGATTAGCATAACTTCTCTTTCTAAAAGTCCTATTTCACCACTGTAAAAAATAATTCTAAACTTTGTCAACTATCTTGAGAAAATAAATTTCTGTGAAGAAATATACAAAATTAAGGAAGTTATCTAAAGTGGGGTGTGGTGGCACACACCTTTAAGACCAGCACTTCCTCCTGCCAGAAGCAGGTGAATCCCTGTGAGATGGAGGCCAGCCTGATCTACATAGCAAGTTCCAAGGCAGCTGGGGCTACAGGGTGACCCTGTCTCAAACAAACATACAAACAAAAAATTAAACAAAAAATAAAGTTATCTATCATTTTGCTAAAAGTTAATTATTGACCAATTTATCCAAGCAGCAGAGGATCAAACTTATTTACACTTAAAAACAAATAGCAATTTAATTAAATTGCCCATCAAAAACATTTTAACAAATGGGAAATATTGTGACTGATGAAAAAAGAAAACAGATCTGAGACCTGCCGTCTTTATCTAGAACATAACCAGATCACCATCCTGAAGGCCACAGGAGACCATATTACACAGTGGTCTGTTTCACACCAACTAGTCAAGCCTGTCAGAAACTCCTGTCTTTTCAGTTCATAAATGAAAACTCTTCATCCTTGACGATGAGTTTTTTATTAGTGTTTCATGACATGCCCAGGCCAATGTCCTCTGCTCTTAATAGTACAAAGAGCTTCCTGACAGGAGGATGATGTTCTGGCAAGTGACCCTAAGACCCTCCTGTATTCTCTGGGGATCTACCAACTGAGGCAGTCAGGACAAAGGCCTGGATGCTTGTTTTCTTGATGCCTACATCCAACAGAAGCCACCCACTGAGTGTCATCTCTAGAACACAAATGGCTCCTTGGTTTATTATGATATTGAAACATGAATTTGACACTACTGTTAAGTGTAACTGTAGGGTAGAAATCAGAAGCCAAACTCCTAAAGTATATCTTCAGAAACTAGAATTTCTGTGAAAACAGAATCCCTTGGGCCTCCCTGGCTTTCCAACAGAAGAATTAGGATGTTCTTGCTATCAGCCCACAGATGTTTAGATGTCTGACACCCTTTCTTCTTATTTAACATACTTAAGGCCACTGTGTAAAGTCTTGGGACATAGCACATTGTTTCTTTGGCAATTATTTCATATATTTTCATGGTAAAGCTTTGTATAAAGATGCTTTTAGCTGCAGGTTTATTTGTATTAATAGGTAACACCAAACACCAACAAATATAATGGAAAACTCCAATTGTGCTATGAGTGTCTGCAGAGGTCTGATCCAAAAGTTTGATATCAATAGGACCCTGACAGCCAGGTAACATCAGTACTATAATTGCAATTATTATCATTACTTCTAAAGCTCAAATCAAGAAGACTAAGAAGCAAAGACTACAAGTAAATTCTACAAGGCCAGATGGCAAATAAATTGCAGGATGGTTGTTTTTTGCTACATAATAAATAGTCCTAAAAACTGTCAACTTAAATCAACAGTAATCATTTATAATCACTCCTGGGTCAGAACACAGTGGAAAGGCTTGTCTTGGCTCTATGATATCTGGGGCATCAGCTGAAAGGCTGGACGGCAGGGGTTAGTTGTTCCTCTTTCAAACTGACTTGGTCACTTAACTAATAAATCAGTGCTGATTATTTGGTTTCTGTCCACATGATCTTTTCTATGCAGCTGTTTGATTATCTTCCCCACATGACAGTCGGCTCCTCCCAGAATAAGGAAAAAGGAAAGGAGAGAGTAAGCACTGTTAGATACCTGGGGAAGTGCTTTCTGGGTAGAAGGAACAACAGGCTCCAAGGTTCTAAAATTTGGACAGGAGAATCCAAAGAGGCCATCCTCACTCACATACCTCCACCTCCACTGCAGTACAGTTTAGCTGTGGAACTGATAGGTGTCAATTTACTTCATGTCTTCTGCTTCTTAAACCAAACTCACTCTCTCAGCTGGACCAGCATCCTTAAAGGTATTGTGTGCTGGCCCAATACATGCTAGCTTCTCAAAAATACGAAATGGTGATGATGTTGCCTTTTCCACTGAGAAACAATTTCATGTCTGGATATTCACTCATGCTGGCAAGTGCTCTACCATTGAGCCATGTCTCCAGCTCTATTTCAAGATACACAATATCAAAGTGAAGCAACCCAAAAATTTTCAAGCCACTTTAGGATTTCAATTATCTATTCTGGGAGGTCATTGCATCCCTCCTTGATCTGGAGGGAGAAAAATACAGTTAAAATTATACTTTATAACAATACAGATCAGTTCTGCCTCTAAGTACACCATGTCACAAAAACAGTTCCCGGTATTGCAAGAATTAAATGAAACAATGCATTAAAAGTGGTTTGTACGTGGCCATGCATTATGA